GAAGGGGGGGGAGGAGAGGGAGAGAGGAGGGAGAGAGAGAGAGAGAGAGAGAGAGGGAGAGGCCGTGAGAGAGAGGCCGTGCCGCCGTGCACAGAGAGAGAGAGAGAGAGAGAGAGAGAGAGAGAGAGAGAGAGAGAGAGAGAGAGAGAGAGAGAGAGAGAGAGAGAGAGAGAGAGAGAGAGAGAGAGAGAGAGAGAGAGAGAGAGAGAGAGAGAGAGAGAGAGAGAGAGAGAGACGGAGTAATGGATGGCCCTGTAACAGGCTGCGTTTTTCTTCTCGAGTCGTTCGTGAAATTCTTTTGAGTCCGAGCCAGAAAGAATTTAACAAAATCAACTCTCTCTCACAGCAGACAGGCTCGACACAGGTGCGGACTGGCGCGTGCTAGCACTATCACAGACAAACCACCGGAGCCTAAGCGACTCCGGTAAGCACGGCAATGCACTTTAGCTCTTTGCACAATGCCGCTCTCGCCGCACGCTAGCTCGTTCACCGTCTGCCACGCCACAGCGGTGTGGAGAACGACAGACAGTCGCTGCATCTGCAGTCTGTGCCAGTTCTTGTGCGAGCGGACGGCACGCCAGAAAAGAAAGAAAACAGACAACGCGGGGAGGGATGGGAGGACGGCACGCCGCCACCACACAGGGATTTTAAGGAGAGGGGTGTGGTGCTAGCCGTCGCCCACGCACCCTTGGGCGTCTGCCTCTTCCTATCTCTCTTCGCAGTCCCTCGCCGATTCTCGCTGCAACCTTCATGCCACCTCGCGGTCGTCCCACTCTCGTCGTTCTCTCTCCCTGTCGTGTGTGGAGAAGTTTACCTTACCTTACCTTACCTCTCTCCCTGTCGCTTCATCCTCTGTCTCGTCGCTCTCCTCTGCCTCGTTCTGTCTTCTGAGACGCCGCCGCCGCCCGCCGATCCCTCTTGCTCTCGCGGCTTCTCCCGCCTCTCGGCGCAACTCCGCCCCCTCCTCGCGGCGCATTTTGGCCCCCTCTGGGGGGGCGCGGGGGCCCTAGAGGGTATCCATGCGGGGGGGCGATGGGGTCCCATGGCCCGCCGCAGGCGCCGATTTTTTCGGTTTTTTTGCGCGATTTTTCACTTTTTCATGGGAATTCGGCGTACTTGCGGCCATGCTATCACGCCTTGCGACAGCCTGTCGGCGCTGCTGACCGTGCCATGCTGCACAATTGATCACCTGCATAGCTCGCGGCCTTAGTATCAAGCATTCAGTGACGACCTGATCGTACGGCCAGTCGGAAGGTGTCCTTCCAACGTGTGCACGCTTCTGACGCAATGCGCGTCGCCTCGGATTGGCTGCTGGCACTCTCGAGGCTATGCCTACACAGCCTCGCGCGCAGGGCAGTCAAGAGGGACCACGCACCTTCTCAGGACAGCACCAGTGCCTCTCTCTTGGACCGGCAAACGTGGTGGTCTCGTGTTACCAATGTGGGACCAGTGCGGCATCGCGCCATCGACAGCTCTGAACTGCGCCTCACCACTGACCGGGAAGGCCGCCAAGTGGGCCAGCACCGGTCGCACATTGTGGCAGCAGTCAGCAGTGCATGTCTGATAGCTAGAGCAGCAGCGTCAGGGTCTCGCAGGGTCGGATCGTGTCAAGCCTCTCGCCCGGCCGGCCGTGTGCAGACGTCGGCCTGTCTGCTGTCTGGAGTGATCTGTCGGCGGTCAGTACGACCAATCAGGTCGGAGTTTTCTGATGGTTGGAGGGTCTATCTGTATGTACTCCTCGAGTTCTCTCCAAATCTGCCCTCTACTTAACCGTACTTAATCGGGAAGTTGGTGCTAACGGAGACTAACGGAGCCGGAGCCCCATTTCCGTACTGCTGCGCGGCGCACGGTGCCTCCGGGGGCCCCCGCGCCCCCCCAGAGTTGGCCCCTCGAGTTTATCGAGCTCTCCTCGCGCAAGGACGACTCTTCTGACTGACACCCACTCCGATCATTTGTCGCCAAGTCATATCGTTGCTCAGGTCCACTCTCGTTTCGGACACTTGTACCTCCACAGATGGTGTTGGCTCTGGGGTCCCCTTCGGGTGCATCGTGACAGCTGAAAGAAAGAAAGAAAGAAAAAGGGATGCCAAGGGAGGGATGGCTGAAAAAAAGAAAGAAAACGGACAACCCAAGGGAGGGATGGGAGCACCGCTGGCCGCCACCACACAGCGGCCGGCGTGTTTTTCTTCTCTCGAGCGCCACCAGCTCGCGCCAACAACAACCCGCCCAAAATGCAGCCACGAGCTTTGGCGACAGGAGCGCTGGCCGCTGCGCTGCTGTGCCTGTGCATACCCACCTCCCTGGCTGCGCCCCAGGCCGGCCCGGCGATCGACGCGTCGCACGCGATGATGGAGCCGCCGCCCGCCAAGCAGCCGCGGCCGTATGTGCGGCCTCCTGCGGGCAGCCGGCTCGCTGCCGGCTCGGGCGTGTACCGCAAGCTGCTCTCCGTCTCGACGCCGCGGTCGGCCGCCACGCTCGCCGCGGCGGCGGTCACCATCACCTGCCTCGTCTCGCGCTCGGCTGCGTCGCGGCTCGTGCTCCACATCATGTGCTTCATCGGCTCGCTGCTCGAGCCGTTCGACAGCGTGCTGCCAAAGCGCTCCGCGCTCCGCCCCTTTATCGAGCAGGCGCGCCGTCGCTCGACGCACCACCTCATCACCTCACCCAACCTCACCCAACCCTCTCCAATCCTCTCCCGCCCTCTCCCGCCCTCTCCTGCCCTCCCCCACCCTTCCCGCCCTCTCCAACCCTCTCCCGCCCTCCCCCACCCTCGCCGAATAGGTCAAGTCGGCCAGGAGGGCCTACGCCGTCAAGTGCGCCGCCGCCCCCTCTCCTTCTCACGCAACCCTCCTCCCCTCGCTGCTGCTGCCCCCTCTCCACACCGCCGCCTCGCAACCTGCCTCGCCCTGCCACGGCTGCCGTCCTCGCCTCGCCGCGGGCCTCACTACCGCCGCCGCTCCCCGACCGCGCAGGCACGGCCTGCCGCTCGACCTCGACGCTATGGAGGGCTTTGCAGACGAGTCGGTCGAGGCGGCCGCCGAGGCGGAGGAGGGGCGTGCCGAGGCGCCGGCTGAGGCAGAGGCGGCGGGCGAGGAGAAGGCGGAGGAGGAGGGGGCGGCTGCCGCGGCTCCGAGCGAGGGCGCGGAGCCGGTCGAGGTGTGAGGGTGCACGTCTAGCGAAGGAGCGAGCGGTTGGGCAACTGAAGGACTGTGTGTGGGGTCTGGGGTGTGCCTCCGTCGGGGGTGTGGCTGTGGAGGCCTATCTTCTTCCCCGCTCTCCTGGGGGACTCCGCGCCTTACGTCGGCGGGGTTACTCCCCGGCCGCTGCCTGACGCTGAGACACTGAAGAGAGCACTTTCCGTAATTATTGTTCATTCGACCATCAGCGAGACATTACAGGCCACCGACACCCGGAGCGCGAGAGCGTCCGGCGCCGCACCAGTGATGCCGCACTGGCTGGCGCGAGGGAGAACCGCGTGGGGCATGCCTCCAGCAAACAGCAGGAGCGTCGAGGGCTCGGGCGGCAGCGCCACATACTCAAACCGGTCCACCCCAGCCTCTGGCTGGGTGATGAGCAGCAGCTGGCCCGAGCAAATCTCGCCGCCCAACTCCGCCTCCGACCCGGCACAGCCGCCGCCGCCGCTGTCCGCAAAGTAGACGGCGCTGTACAAGCTCTCGCCGTGGTCGTGCACCTGGTGGTGGGCGTGCGGCGGCGACGCGTTGAGCCAGCCGGAGATGGAGAGCGCGTCCAGCTCGACCGGCGTGTGGAGCAGCTGCAGCGCCTCGAGCAGCAGCTCGTGGATCGGCGTGTACCAGTGGGGGTCCGCCGGGTGCGCGCCCCAGAAGAGCTCCTAGAATGGCAACGGACGGCCTCCGGACGGCTCTCCGAGGCGGAGGGTGTGCCGTTTGGGCAGGGCATACCTCGCGGCATGTCTCGGGCATGTCTCGGGCATGTCTCGCGACATTAGGGGATATCGCAGGCATATATCTCGCGGCATGTCTCGGCAAATCTGCGCCTCGCCGCTGTGGAAGCCGCCGACATTCGAGCGCGTGACACCACCTATGGCCCGTGTCGCGGACGCGTCGCGGGGCGGGGGCCTCTCCTGGGACCAACCGCCCAGAGGTTCGGGAGCGGCACACATGCGCTGCTCCCCGTGTACGCCGACCGCGCCGCGGCGCGAAGCCGCGAGTTGATGGCCGCGCCGCGGCTCGCGCGGACGTCGAAGCGGCGCACGAGCCGCTCCACGGGCGCCCCCCCGGCCGCCTCCCCGGCCGCCCTCCCCGCCGCGCCAACCTCTGGCCTTGGGGGTCGAGGCGGGTGGTCGAGGAGCGTGATTGCGCTTGCACCGGTGAAGGACGAGCCGGCGGGCAGGGGGACGGGCGACGGCGGCGGGCAGGCGCGCCGCACAAACGTCGCGCCGCTCGCCGCGGCGGCGTGCGGCCGCCGGCCGTCCCAGACGCTGACGGCAGGGTCGTCAAGGCTCCGCCGCAGCAGCTGCGTGGCCGCGGCGGCGGCGTCCAGCGGCGGAGGCGACGGCGGCGACGGCGGCGACGGCGGAGACGGCGACGACGACGGCGACGACGACGGCGACGGCGGCGAGGCCGGGGGCGACAATGGAGGCGGCGGCGGCGGCGGCGGCGGCGGGAGCGGCGGCGGCAGAGGCAGCGGCGGCGGCAGAGGCAGCGGCAGCGGCAGCACGGTCGGCACGGCGGCCCCCGGTGGCATGAAGCGGCGGTAGCACTGGCCCACCTCGCTCGCGCTAAGGGGGCGCGCCTCACCGGGCGAGAGGCCGCCTGCGGGAAGGCTCCGGGAAGGTTCATCGAAAGTGCACGCTGTTTTGCGCCTCACCGGGCGAGAGGCCGCCGAGCGTGATAGGGCCGATGCACTCGCGCCGCAGCGTCTTGACCACCAAGCCGGAGCGCGCGCACAACCTGCGAACCTGCGGCGCAAAAGGGGAGGGGCTTCGGGGGAGGGCGGCGGAGGAGGGGGAGGGCGGCGGCAGTGTCACAAGCAGTGGAAAGTGCGAGGCGCACAATGCCCACCCCGCGCGGCGCAGAAGGGAGCGGGGGGGGGGGGGGGGC